GAACCAATTAATTAATTGACTAATTATTTAATTAATAAAATTTTCAGGATAGGTCAGAAATGGTGTAACTTACAATTTATTACATTTTGTTGGTGATCCCGATCCAATTAATTAATTAATTAATAAAATTTTCAGGATAGGTCAGAAATGGGGTAACTTACAATTGATTACATTTTGGTGGTGATCCGGATCCAATTAATTAACTAATTAATTAATTAATAAAATTTTCAGGATAGGTCAGAAATGGGGTAACTTAGAATTTATTACATTTTGGTGGTGATCCCGATCCAATTAATTATGTAATTAATTAATTAATTGAAATTTTCACTTAATTAATTAATTAATAAATAAAAATTTTTACAGTGAGAGAATTCAGCTGCCTTGGCGGAGGTTTGTGCTCTCCGAGTGCTCTAGTTTTAATTTTGTTTATTATAATGTCATATACTTTATAACTATAATATGTTATATATTTTTGTCAGTGTTATTAGTAATACTGATATTATTATTACCATTCCTGTTGCTGTCACTATTGTCATCATGATCATCATTGTCATTACTACGAAATATAAACTGGCATGATTGCAAAGCTAACTACCATTATTATTACTCAACTTTTAATTAATTATTAGCTAATAAATGCTTTAGTAATGATCGATGGTACTATTAGCGATACAGTATGTGAGACTAGATGAACGTCCGTCTTGTTTCAGCGATGCGTTTGACCTGAATCTATCTGTCGGCATTCTCTGCGTGCAGGGGGGCCTCGACTGCTCCGACATGCTCGAGCTCCCAGCCTCCGCATCAGTACCAGGTACGCACAACCACTCGTTTCAGCATGGCGTGGGACGGCGTGGCCATGTACGACATAGTTCGTGAGGGTTACTGACACTAGGCGCGTCTGTTGTCGACTAGGGGGTTTACCAACTGTGCTGTTGTTAGTTGGGGTTTTTATTTAACTGGGGGTTTACCGACTGTGTTGTTGTTAGTTGTGGGTTTGCCAACTGTGGGGTTTTCAACTGGGAGTTTACGGACTGTGCTATTGTTAGTTGCGGGTTTGCGAACTGTGGGTTTTATTTAACTTGGGGTTGACCGACTGTGTTGTTGTTAGCTGTGGGGCTTGCCAACTGTGGATTTGTTAATTGTGCATTCGCCTTCTGTAATGATAATGAAGTAAAGGTATCTATTTGCTGCATAGTGTTACAGAAACTGGAGAACGAGTACGAGTGTGTTGTGGAGGATACGGATGATGAGGATGAGGAGGACGAGGAGAGCAGCTGTGATGAACAGGAGACATGCTTCAACACAGAGGAAATATTCCACTCGTGTGAGGACCTGCCTTCTGAGAACTCAGGTAAGAACAACTCAGGTGAGAACAACTGAGGTGAAAGCAATGTAGCTGTGAACAACTGGGGTGCAAACGAACCAGTGGAGAACAACTAGTGAGGATATCTCAGCTTAGAACAATTCATGCGAGAACAAATCAAGTGAGAACATTGTAGCTGTGAACAACTGTGGGTGAGAGCATCCTAGATGAGAACAATTTAGTTGACGATATCTTAGCTAAGAATGATCGAGGTGAGAACAATTAAGGTCGGAACAACTCGCAGCTAAGAGCAGTCCAATTGAGAACAACCTAGGTGAGACATCACGATAATTTTCACGTGACTTGTGTTAGCTTCTCCTAGTGATGTTCTACATGATGTAGTGTTGTCGTGGTTACAGCCGAGGTGAAGAGCTTGGTGGACCGGCGCCCCGCCCCGCTCGTGCAGCCACAGCAGGCGATCATAGACGGAGCCGTTGGCACGGCAACCACACGCGTGCGCGTCGTCGGGAGGCTGCCCATCAATCGCGCGAAGCTGCGCTCCAGCAACCAGTTCCACCGGAAGCAAAAGAAGGGATTCATCGACGTCTGGTGGCTGGCAGACGACGGAGGTGTGTCGCTACTACCTCACACTCCGATTCATCTCTGTATTCTCCGCTGCTGCTGTAATACCTGTGTTGTGCTGCGATGTTACTTCACCTTCATTCTTGGGAGTTCACTCGTATCATTACTGCACCTACGTTCACGTGTGTCGTTACTGTGCCTGTATTTCTTTGTGTCGTTACCTTGCCTGTAGTTATTTGTATCATTACTGCACCTACGTTCACTTGTGTCGTTAGCTCACCTGTATTTACCTGTTTCGTTACCTTACTTGTATTCACTTGTGTCGTTACCTTACTTGTATTCACTTGTGTAATACCTTGTCTGTATTCATTTGCATCGTTACTGCGACGCTATTCACCTGTTTGGTTATCTCACCTGTTTTAACCTGTGTTGTTATCAACACCTTACCTGTATTCTTGTGGATCATTACCTTACCTATATTCTTATCATCATAACTTTACCTATATACTTGTTCATTATCATACCTGTGTTCACCTGTGTTGGTACCATCATAGTAATGCAGCAAGGATCTAGCTAATTTCTGCTTGCTTCTGTCTTCAGGTCTCACCTTGCTGATTCCCTTCCTCATCAGCCAGTCATCGCTGTGGCAAGGCTGCAAGCTCCGTGTCTTCTTCCTCAAGGGAAAGGAGGATTTGGATAAAGAGCAACGCAAGTAGGTGATTGTTTGATCTCTCAGCAAGGGGGGGGAGGCACAGGGAGGATTGTAGAGCTAATTTGCAGGAAACAAACATTGGAATTATCGAATTATAATGAGCGGTGATCACAGTTAAATTGGGTCTTTCATACTTCTCCTTTATGTATATTCATACTTGCAGATTTGGATTTGCTTCAATATTTTTTATGTTTCGTATATTGCAATAACTATAGTGTGCAAGCTGTAATGACAAGCTGGTGGTGAAATACCGTGTCATGACTCTTATTAAATTAATGGTCGCCTCTTGTTTCAGTATGGCCGCTCTACTAAGCAAGTTCCGCATTGACTACTCTCAGATGACAGTCGTTGATAGCCACACGGAAGCTCCCAGTGCAGAAAGGTAACAAGGGAATCATCATTGAACAAGTTTACTATTTCTCTCTTTCTCTTTCTCTCTCTTTCTTTTTCTCTCTCTCACTTTCTCTCTCGCTCTCTCTCTTTCTCTCCCTTCCTCCCTCCCTCCCTCTCTCCCTCCCTCCCCTTCTTCCCCACTCCCCATTCCTCCCCCTCCTCCTTCTTCTCTCCCCCTCTCTCCCTCCCTCTCTCACACAATTTATTTATCTCTCTCTCTCTCTCTCTCTCTCGTCAAATGCAAAGTGTGAAACCCCCTTGCCATGTCGTTTCGCAGCGTCACAGAGTTCCAAGAGCTGATCGAGCCGTGGCGCGTGCGTGCGGGTGGGACGGGGGCGGCGAAGACGTCGTCCGGCATCACGGACTCGGAGCTGCTGGCGCTGAAGGCTCGCACGGTGCGGCACGTGCGTCTGCGGGAGCTGCTGCATGAGCACTCACAAGATGCCAGCCTCGTCGTCATGTGAGTGTCTAGTTGGTCTCCGTCTGAGACTCCTCCCTCCTCCGGCCGGCCGCCAGTGGAGGGGGGGGGGGTTGGTAGCACGTCGCTTCTTATACTTTGTTGTGTTTTTACGTGTATGTAGTTCATGTTGTAGTTTATCAAGTGTGAATTCTGATTAGGATCGGAGGGTCAAAGGTTTAGTGAATTGTAGTAGGTATATGCATCCGTTTTAGGTTTCTTTATATTTAATATAATTTAATATATATATTATATATATATTTTTATATAAATAATTATGATATCTATATATTAAGCATGAATGTTAATTATACCTGTGGACATAGCTGTTGTGCTTATTTACTAATAAAATATACTTACACTATATTACACTATATCGTGCATTACTACTGTCTTGTTTCAGCACGCTGCCGATCCCACGGAAGGTAATCTGTTCACCCTACCTCTACATGGCCTGGCTGGAGACCCTGACGCGCGGCATGCCCCCAGTGCTGCTGCTGAGAGGCAACCAGACCAGCGTTCTCACTTTCTACTCCTAGGCAAGGCTTCATCTATCAGCAGGGCTTCATATATGAGCACAGGTTAATCTGTGAACAGAGTTTTATCTGCGAGCAGGGCTGCATGTGTGAGCGGGGCTCATCTGTTGGAGCAGGGCGCTGCATCTGTGAGCAGGGCTCCTCTGTGAGCAGGGCTGGCATCTGTTGGAGCAGGCGCCCCATCTGTGAGCAGGGCCTCCATCTGTGAGCATGCGGCTCCATCTGTGAGCAGGGCCCTCCATCTGTGAGCAGGGCCTGCCATTCTGTGCAGCAGCCGCTCCATCTGTTGAGCAGGGCTTGCATCTGTGAGCAGGGGCTGGCATTTCTGTGAGCAAGGGCTGCATTCTGTGAGGCAGGGCTGCCATCTGCTGAGCATGCGCTGCCATCTGTGAGCCAAGGCTGCCATCTGCGAGCAGGCTGCCATTCTGTGAGCCACGCGCTCCATCTGTGAGCAGGGCTGCATCTGTGAGCAGGGCTGCATCTGTTGAGCAAAGGCTGCGCATCTGTGAGCGGGCTGCATTCTGCTGCAGCAGGCTTTCATCTGTGAGCCAGCGCTCCATCTGTGAGCAAGCGCTGCAATTTTTGTTTTTTCTGTGAGTAGCGGCTGGCATCTGCAAGCAGGGCTGCATCTGTGAGCAGGGCTGCATCTGTGAGCCAGGGCTGCATCTGTGAGCAAGGCTGCATCTGCTGCAGCGGGCTGCATCTCCGAGCAGGGCTGCATCTGCGAGCAAGGCTGCATCTGCGAGCAGGGCTGCATCTGCGAGCAGGGCTGCATCTGCGAGCAGGGCTGCATCTGTGAGCAGTGCTTCTTCTGTTTGATAGGTTTGAAAGTTGTTGAATTTCAACAGGGTTACATCTATGAATAGTTTTTATTTCATTGAGGTCTCTCGAAATTATTTCGTTTCACTAAAGTTGCTTCTAAGCATGGTTTACCATTTATTTATAAGAATCGTTTCATTTTACCTAGGTTTCATCTACGAACCATTTACTATAACCAGGGTTGCATATAAGCATGATGACTTTCTTTGACTATGGCTGTCCTTATGAAGAATCTCTTGAGCGATCTTTGTCTGAAATCGCTAGCGATTTATAAGTTGATCGCGCGCATAAATATTACAGTGTATCTCGCTCAGTGTGTCACGTAGCATATCCTTTTTTATAACATATTGGAATCTACGTGAATGCTTATTTGTGAGCGAGGATTCAGTCCACTCGCTGTGCTGTGAGACTAACCATCGTAATCTGGTCATAGTAAGTGGGAGTCAATCCAACACGAGTAGATGTTCACTTCACTCACTGATAGTACTTTCAGACTAAACTATGATCTTGTCATAGCAGGTGGAGTAAATCTACCAAAAGTATATATGTATAGTAATCATGTTATTATATCGAATAACGTTACCATTTATAGTAGTAATGTTTAGCTAATCATCCCGTCTCACCATCACTAGGTCAGTTCAGAGTCGAGTGCACCGCTTAAGCCCGGCGCACACGTCAGTTATTTTACTCAAGTAAAATGACGCATGCGTCTAATTACTCAACGAAAATCCGCCGCACACGTGAGTAAAATGACTCATGCATCATTTTACTTGAGTAAAATAACTCACGTGTGTGCGCCGGGCATTAGAGAAGTTGCAGTCACTAATAGCGCTGCCAGACTTAACTCTGCTACGGCTAGTGGAGTGAATCCACACTACAATACGCTGTGCACCTGACTCTTGCCTGGCCTAGTGGTGGCGAGGCGGGATGGTTAGATAAACATTCTCACCAAAGAGAGAAGGCGGTGGCACGCTGAGAGACGAGCAGCCCGTGTCTTGCTTCTGTTCTGCGCATGCAGTGCTGTGCTGGTGTTTGCACAAACGCTCCCGTCGGTAGCTAATCTGGACTGGCTGAAGATAGCATCGCCCGCCTCTGCCTTGTCATCCGCCCGTCTGGTCTACACAACATCTCACTCATGACCCCGAGTACCAGAAAAGGGGAGCGAGAGAAGGAAAAAGAGAGAAAGGGAGAGAGAAGAGCGTGTGAGCAGAGAGGGAGTGGGAGAGAAAGAAAGGGGAGAGAGGGAGTGGGGGAAGAAATAGAGAAGGAGAGAGAGAGAGGGGGTGTGTGTGCGTGCGTACGTGCGTGCGTGCGTTTGTGTGTACGTATGGACGTGCGTGTGCGTGTGCGTGTGCATCCTTCTCCCCCACACACACATAGTGATGCGTGGTGGAGGTGCTTTGAAGAGTACGAAATGCACGTTTGTTCCTTGCATGTAGATAGCAGCAGGGGTTCGATTCAGAAACTTAAATTACTCACGGTAAAGTACCCACCCTCCGCCTAACCCCACTCGCCTCACCCCGCTCCGCCGTGCCTCGGTCTGCGTTCCTCACCGTCGTTCCCGTCCGATTGCTTCAACTCTGTATCACCCTGCCGTAGAAGCACACTTGCTCACCCTCACTGGTAGAGTTAGGTATTGTAGGGTATCGTGCTTTCACTAGCCTGTCAATTGCTCCATGTTTATATAATATATATATAATCTATGCCGGTGCTTGCATAAAAGCGCTCGCGTTGTTTTCAAAATATACGAACGTTCTTTTAGCTCACTTTACTGTATCTGTGTTTGCTTAATAAAAAATGGTGCATAGAAAACTGTGATTCATGTCAAACGCTTGCGAACTTTAAACGACGTGATTAATATTGTATAATAATTAGTTAGTCAAGCAGGTGAAGTGTGAGGGTATATAGCGCGGCGAGCAGATTGGATTTGTATGGTGGACAGTCGCATGGCTGACGATGATTTGGTTCAGCCCGCGATTTGTCGTTAATAAAACGTGTAATATAGGTGTGGCCAACATGACCAGGGCCATTTTTACGGATTATATATTATGTTCTCCGCGTGTAACATGTGATTAATCGTCGTGTTCACAGTTCGATACCGTATCGTGTTAAAATCATGCGTCTTTTATGTTAGCTTTAAGCCTAGTCATGGTCAAGGGTTCGAGTCTACTGTGTTTCAAACGGTGCTGGATGGAGTTTTATTTTGAGCAAGTGCAGAACGAATGTTGGAGGTGAGGACTGAAATGCTATCTCAGTGGTTAACATTCCGGGCGTTAATGCTTAGTTTAATACTCCCGTGTGTCAATGGTTATTGCAATGTGTCGATGGTTGATATTTGTCAGTGTCAGTAATTGACACTTCAATGTGTCGGTGGTTGACACTTCGGTGTGTCGGTGGTTGACACTTCGGTGTGTCGGTGGTTGACATTGTAATGTGTTAATAGTTGACATTGACCATTGACGAGAATAGATCAATAAAATATCCGTGATTATCATGATCTCTTTTTCAGGAATGATTGAGAAGCGCGTGTTTTATTCACTACTACATGATATTATTGCTCGTTCTTGTTTCCTACATCGGTTACTGTTCTCTATTGTTGCTCGTTTCCATAAAGCACATATACGACGGGGGTTTATTTTCTGGAATTACGTGATATCCTAAATGCATGTTCTCTCTACTGCGGTCGTTGACGTTGTTGTTCATTGGAATTACGATTTCTGTAATGGCTGCTTATCAGTGGATCGTGTACGGGCGCACTGTTTTGGTGTTTCAAAGTTGTGGGGAAACTTTCATGTCTAGCTTTACGCGCAATATGAAATGTTCCTATCTAGTTATCGTTTTCGTGTAGTGTACAATGGGTGCATGTTCACACTTATTTTTACCGTACTTCAGAAAATACCATTATCATAAACGAATTATCCGATGATATTTCTTTTACAATTTTTTAAAAACAAAATCGTGTTTATTTTCGTCACGCATTTAACATGCAGATGTATTTAGGCACCGTTCGCATTTGTAAACATGACTTTCGAATAAATATTTATATACAACGTAAAAATACTTCGAACGGTATTTTGACGGCGTTTCAATTCGTAACAAAAAAAACTTTAAATGACAGCAGAAGCTCGATGTTGACGTTATAACTACCGATGATGGTTTTGACAAACTGGTCCCTGGTGAGTTTTTACCTTATCAGGGCAGCTAATGTGTGCCGATAGTTACGAGAGTGCCCGCCAGGTGACTCAGCGTCGATATCCATCCACTGCAGCATCGGCAAACCGCTCTCAGCTTTGGTAACCTAGCTTTATGACATTCGGATACACTCATACAGCTAGAGTAACCAAAGAGAACACCGGAGCCTGTCTCGTGGTCCACCGGGTGGCGCCACGCGTATAGCGTGGTGGGATCATGACGGATGACCCGCGTAGATAGGCATCCATTTATCGCTAGCAGTCGCACGCTCGCCCCCTTTTACCTTCTCTTCAGTTATTCCCTACCAGCGCAGCTTCGGCGGTGCCCTCCAACGTTTTGATTGCCATGTAGAAATGTGTGTGGGATGTAGAAGGCGGTGGAGATGTAGGTAGGCGAGCGTGTAGAAAAAATGAATGTCCGTCCACCCACCTTCCATTGACGAGGATCTTTCTGGAACGAATTCTGCTAGATGACGTCATCTAGCAGACGCGACTCGACGTCGAGAAAGTCTGTGCTGGCTCCTAAAGACATGCAAAACATAACTGACATAGCGGCTGAACCAGACAGCGACGGAAAGCGAGACAGGCAAGAGACGGGTGTAATAAATTGTGATATGAATTCAAAATTCGAACTTTATATATATGTATTTAAATACCGTCTCACTACTTTGTGAGTGTGCGACACGCCGCCGCCTCACGCACGCCCAAAACTAGACCTAGATAACATATATATATATATATATATATATATATATATATATATATATATATATATATATATATATAAGCGACTTTTAATTATTTATAACTTCATATAATGTTATAACTATGTCGACTTTTCACTATTAATTGAGAGATTAACAGATTAAAAAGAGAAAGCGAGAGAGAGAGAGAGAGAGAGAGAGAGACGTAGTTAAAGTTCCAGCGACACAATTACAGTAAAAACCGCGCGTATAAGACATAGATTTTAGAACATGTTAGGCTAAATTCCCATTTAGACCCCTTTACATAAGAACCTGTTTTAGGCTAAGTTTAAAGTAGGTCTTATTTTCCATGCAGATGAGACTTAAAAAGAAACACAGGTAAATAAAAAAGACGAGCTCAACAATATCGATGCG